CTCCGCCTCCTCCTCCTGAAGGTTTCACAAGCCACGCGGTCCTCCCAGAGCTCCCGACCGGCCCTGCCGCCGTCAGTCGTCTGCCGGCCGCTGGCGGCATCGAAGTTGCCCAGCCACCTCGGGCCAGCTCCTGTTTCTCGCCACCGTCGTCTGCCCCGTTCTCCCCCACCACCATCATGTTCCCCCTGTTCCTCCTCCTCCTCCTCCTCCTGCTCCTCCTCCCTTCCTGCACTTGCTCCTGGTCGGTGTTGTTCCCCCTCGTCGTCCTCCTCTTCCTCCTCTGTTTCCTCTTCCTCCCCGTCCTCGTCCGTTTCCTCCTCGGCCACCTCGTATTCCATGTCCTCGACCTCGTCCTCCCTGCCCCAATCATCACCATCCCTCCTCCTCCTGATCCTCCTCTTCCTCCTCGTCCCCCTCTTCTTCCTCCTCCTCCTTCTCCTCCTTGTCCTTCTCCTCCTCCTCCTCTTCCTCCTGGTCCCCCTCCTCATCCTCCTCCTCCCCTCCTCCTTCCCTTCCTCCTCCTCCTCTCCCTCGTCTGCTTCCTCCTCTTCCTCCGCCTCCTGATCGTCATCGGCATCGTCATCGCCATCATAATCGTCATCGTCCTCCTCCTCCGCCTGTTCCTCTTCCTCCTTGTTCTTTTTTCAAACATCGGTTCGAAGCGTGTCCGCGATAAGCTCTTCGTTTCCGCGCACGGTCTGAAATCGACCCGTTCGTTTTTTTCGCGGCGCTCGGGGGGTCTAGGTCTGGAGTTCGGCGGAAGCACAATGTTAAGACAATTTTCTTGGTGACGAAAAAAGCAAAGCCTGGTATTGGGCAGGCTGGCGTGGAATTGACGCGGTTGCTGTGATAGTAGGTGCTCGTTTTGAATAGTTGTGAACATCGCAACTGAGAAGTTACATATAACTGTGTTCGTTGCCCACAAGGAGATGGTTTCAACTTACTGTTTGCAGCTTTGACGCAACCTGTCGTGTGTTAAGCACGTTGTTTGTTTAGTTGTTATTGTTCGTTGGCAGCCGTCGCAGGCGGCGGGTTGGGGCGGCACTTCGGCGCCCGCGCGACACCGCCCGTCGCGTGGGCGCGCCTATTTCGTTCGCCCTGTTCATCCAAGCTTGAGGTAACCGTAGTGGCTTAGATGTGTACAATACATACGTTTTCATCGGCACAGCGGGCGCTGCTGGTGAGCGTCACCGGCGGATTCTGGAACGAAGTTCACTACAGCAGCGTGCCAGCTCTTAGTGTACAGGCCCACGTTGCAGGTGATGAAAAGACTTGTCGTCGTCGTCGGACGGGCTCGGCCAACGTGGGCTACGTTGAGGCTCCCAAGTCCAGGCACCAACATCCACCAGACGCAAATCCCCAAAGGTCTCATTCAGGAATCCCGGGCCGCCTAGAACATGTCCACGGCCCACGCGCGCGCCGCCGCCAGCGGCTTCAAACGGAGACAAGAGTCCATTTCGCTCTGTCAAGCGCAGACACCACCCTGACGATCAACGAAGGCGCAGCGGCGGCAGGGTGCACATGAGCCAAAGCTCACGGCAAAAGAACAACAGGGACGATGACAAGTATGATGCGTGACGATGAGAGCGTCGACGGGGAGCGCCCATCGACGCTCCGAAGGCCTCGCGGCGACGCGATGCGGGGCTCGGGACTTCGCGGGGCCTTGCGCAATGGGGCGGGACGTTGAAAGCAATTGCTTTCGATGTTGCGGGACCCCAGTTTTTCAAACGCACTGCTTGCAATTGAGGGTTCTTGCTTCTCTTTTAAAGAACTGCGCCGGGCACGTCGACGCCCGTCGCCGCCGCCCGCGTTGCATTGCCCCGCATTGCTTTGCATTGGTGCACATTGTTTTGCACTGCATTGCTCTGCATTCGATCGCACTGCTTCGCATTGCAGCGCTCTGCGTTGCTTTGCTTTGCATGGTAGCACAATCGCATTGCACTGCTTCGCGCTAAGATACATTGCCACGCGCTGTTTTGCATTGGCGCGCATTGCGTCGCAACGCGTTGCGTTGATGTGCTTGCGCTGCATTCCGCATTTCTTCCCATTGTCTGGCATTGCGACACGTTGTTTTCAATGCTTTGCATTGCGTCGAGTTCCGTCGAATTGCTCTGCGTTATTATGCAGTTCATTGGCCTTCAGCACTACGCATTGCTTTGCAATCGAATGAAACTGACTCGCGTCGGTTCGCGTTGCGCTGCATTGTTCCGCATTGCGTTTCGCTGCCCTGTACCGCGTAGATTGCACCGCGGCTCACACTAGCATCGAGTATCATTGACTGAGGACGATCCAAAGACCCCGAGATCCCGCGCGCTGATCCTATAGCTGGGACTCTCAAAAAGGCTCGGGGGGGCGTTCAGAAGCCCCCCGGACCTGGGCCCCCATGGCGCGCGCGGGTGCAGCACCCTGCTCGGGCCTGGCAGCCCACGTCGACATCCCACGAGCCCGTCGGGCCAGGGTGGCCCAACGAGATCGTTCCTTCCTCTTCCAAAAGACCCTCGTCACTTCGGAAAGACCCCCCCGAGGTTTGGGGGTAGTTCCGCGAGCTGCCAGGGGGTCCTCTATCGCGCAAGATGACTCCAACAAAAACTTCCGATGCTCCGAGATGGCCCCCAGGACGGCTCAACATAGCCGAAGATGGTTCAACATAGCTTCCGACATACTTCCAAGAAGCTCGACAAGGGCCACGAGGCAGCCCGAGCGCTCTCGGAGCCCCCTCGAGATCCGCCCATGAGGCCCGCGCCCTTCAATGACCTCCGAAAAGTAAACAGGCTGGCCAACCGCTTTCCGATGCCAGCTTTCACGTGCCATGCCCACGCAACAGGCGACGCAGAGGTCTTCGTCGTCGTCCTGGACCAAGTCCAGGCATCAACATCCACCAAACGTAAATCCCCAAAGGTCAATCCGGAATCCTGGCTCGCCTGCCCCACTCCCGCGGCACGCGCGGGCGACGCCGCCGGCGCGCTGGAAGGGGGGCGAGGGCCCGCCTCGCCCGAGCAAGCGCAGACACCATCCTTGCGTGCAAGGAAGGCGCAGCGGCGGCAGGGCGCACTTGAGAGATCCCAGCAGCGAAACAACAAGGATGATGGACAGTGTCGGGGACGACGAGGATGGTGGGCGCCCACCGACGCTCCGGAGGCCTCGCGGCGCAGCGCCGCGGGGCTCGGACTTTCGCGCGGCGCCCGCGCAGCGGAAGGGCGTCTTGCAAGAATCGGATCGGGGGGCGCGAGGCTCGCCATCGCTCGGACGTCCATTCGGTGCGCTTTTCTTCGGTTTCCTGCGTGGCTTTCCCGCCCACATGATCAAGGATGCTCCTCGATGGTCCTCGACGAAGGAAAAATGCACGCGCCCGAGCGACGCCGAGGAGGGGGGCGCTGCCTGCGCTGGGAGGTCTCCCAGAGATGGCCTCTCACTGCGCGCGCGGGCGCGGTGCCCCGTTCGGGCCCGGCGGCCCAGCTGGAAGTGTGAGCCTGGAGCAGAGCGCGGTTGACAGTTCGCATGTTCTCAGGACATGCGAACTGCACCCTGCATCCCCTGCACCCTGCGAGCGAACGAGCACTATTTTGGACGCCCGAAATTAGGGCGACGAGATCTATACATATCCACTGCTCCCGGCCAGGCCAATCCTGGGCCCAAGAGCTGTGTATACGCCCTCCTGGCGTGGCCAGGGAGGCATATACACCGCTCCTGGGCCCAGGATGGGCCTGGCCAGGAGCAGTGGATATGCATAGATCTCGTCGCCCTACGAAATGGGCACGGAAAGAATGGGTACTATGCCCAACCACAAATGTTGTCCCAAACCGGCAGCGGCCGCTGTTGGGCAGGCGGCCTCCTGTCTCGAATGGACACAGGCCGCGGCGGCGCGGACAGCGAGTCCTGTACAAAATGAAGAGGAACTGCTGTTGAGCATTGTACCCATTATTTCCGTGCCCATCTCGTTCGTGCAGAACTATGTATGAAGAACTGGGGGGCATGCAATCTAATGAAAGTTGTTTCCGATGGGCAAAACCACCATGAACATCACCGCGCACTCATAGACCACTATGTATAGGCCCGGTTGCACTCAACGTATTTCAATGTGGGGTTACGCCAACTCTTTTCTTTGGGCTGGGAAGTCTGCCTCTTGCAAATTAGCACCTGGGCTCCTCGGGCGCCATTCACATCTAGATGTTTCGCTTGATTGCCGGAAGGAGAAGAGCCGACAACGAAGAGCGGGCTGACACCATGCGACGCATGAGTGATCGAGTCAGCAATGCGTTGGTGCAGCTTCCACTTGGCAGATAAAGTTCTCTGCTCTGTCGCCGCGGCAGCAAACTTGCCCAGAGCGAACGATTATGATACTGATTGGGCGCATGCGGGTGGAGACCTGTGCGCACGCTGCCTCGAGAGAGCGATCGCGCCCGCCAACGAGATGGGACGACCGGATTGCATCAGTCACGCGTGTCTGAATCCGGCACTTCGCTGGACGACAAGCATCGCATATGAGGACTAGGGCGCGTTCGTGGAGTATAGTTTGCAGGAATATGGACGGACCTCTTTTGTCACTCGCCCCCCTTTTCCCATCCCCCCCCCTTCCCTCCACACTTGCACAATATGAATACTACTCCCCCCCTCTCCCCTGATGACGTCCGAAAGTATCCGACTCCCCTCAGCGTACTATCTGTTTACACACCGGATTCCAAGGAAACGGGTTTCCGCTTGAACTGTTCTAAAAAATGCTGCTCCCGCTGAAGCGCTGGTCTCAGTTTCGGGCTTCCGCTCGTTCCGAATCGTGTTCCCGCTGCAGCGCTGGCCTCATTTCCGCGCTTCCGCCCGTTTCGAATCGCGTGCTCTACCATGCATCGCGTACCCTCTCGCGATCATTGCCCTGCTTGACATCCAACAGTGCGAATAGAGAGGATATCTACGCCAAACTGGGTCGATCGAGATTAAACCAGTCACCGACCGCGAAAATAATTACCAATGCCGATACAGAATTTAACCTCCCGGGAGTTGCATCCGAGTGAAAGGGACAGGCGTAGGTGCCAGCATTGTGAGGGGTCGAACACGAGAGCTAAACCGGCCGCTTGTCTCTAATCTCCCCGTTTCGATGTGGCCAGCGTGAACGACCTGTGCTCCGAGCCAGCCCCCCTCTGGGCGGCGGGTACACATCGCGGGGGGACTCGCGCACAAAAGCCATCTCTCCATATTTCACTCGGCTCGGCAGCTGTCTCATTCAGCCCAGGAACGTCCCAGACAAGTTGCAGGTAATCGTAATGAGCATCTAGATGGAATCCCACCAGCCCTCTGGGCGTCGGTGGTTTAGAGCGTTTCCTCTTCCACCCCTCCTTCTTCCCCTTCGGTGAGGGGTTTACCCCTCCCCCTACCCCCTCCCCACTGACCTGGACAGGGGGGGCCGCGGGTAGTTAGAGCGTCCAAGAACGACCCCTGGGAGGGCTAAAATTCGACACCCCCCCAGGGGGGCATCTAGATGGAATTTCTCGTGGGCGTTGGTCTCCACAGCAAAGCTGGGATGACCGAAAAGCAGAGGCTGCAGCCAGAGACCCGACATGTAGAGCGAGTGGCGATAGTATCTCTTGTGCTGTTTGTTTACGCCTCCTCAACGACTTCTTCGGAGATCGTGGAGTGCGCACCTCGGTGCAGAAGACCGCTGTGTCTCGCAGAAAGAGCTTCGCACCTTCTTGAAGCTCGTGGAGATGAATTGACACGCGCTGACAAGCATCAGAAAATCCTATCACCAAGTAGGCAGGAACCTCCGCCGAATCTGCGTCCTCATCTTAATCCTTGCCTCCCTTCTTCTCATAGTCCATCCACCTTCCTCTCCTCCTCCTCCTCCTCCTCCTCCTCCTCCTCCTCCTCCTCCTCCTCCTCCTCCTCCTCCTCCTCCTCCTCCTCCCCCTCTCCCTCCTCTTCCTCTACCTCCTCCTCCTCCTCCTGATCATCACCATCAACATCAACATCATCATCATCAGCATCATCAGCGTCGGCATCATCGACATCATCATCATCAGCATCATCATACTAATAATGATCAGTATCATCAGTATCATCATATTCATCATCAGTTTCATCAGCAGCAGCAGCATCATCATCATCATCTTATTCCCAGCACGCTTCCCGCTCACATCGCCCCCGACCTCAAAATCAAATCGATCGTCAAGCAAAGAAGGGCGTCGCCTGTTCAGTAGCGGCCGGAGCATCCGAACGAGCGGCTTGGCCGCGATGGCCTGAGACTGGTTCAGCACATCAAGCGGAATCCGCAGCCCCACAATTGGAGGAGAAGAAGAATAGACGACGACGACGACGAAGCCAGGGATGACGATTCGTGCTGAGTCGTTGGACCTGGCTGTTCCCGTCCCCCCCCTGTTCCGCCTGCCCATTGTGGCTGCCGCCAAGGAGATGAGCGTCGTCTTCCATTTCTGGCTGAATGGCTTTTTTTAGCGGGTGAAGAACAGTATAAAATGAACTGTCCCGCCGTCGGGGACGCCTGCCCCCCCCCGGCGGCTGGACAGTTTTTATACCCCTACGGTGCCAAGTAGGGGTGTAAACTTTGCAGCTGCCAAGGGGGGCAGGCGTCCCCGACGGCGGAAAAGCTTCTTGAGCACCGCTCTTCGCCCGCAGAGTTCCTTCCTTCACTGTGGCCGCATGCCTTGGCATCTGCTGCCATCTCGGGAGGGCAGAAGGGTTGGGCAGGGGCAAAGGTGGGGTTGGAGGGAAGATCGCTCCGGACGACCCCTGAAAAAAAACGCGTTCAACGGGAGCATCCAGCTGGGCCCGTTCCTGGGGGAACAAAAAGTGACATAAACATAAGAACTCGGAGGTCCGCGCGGATTTCTCGGATCGGCGCTGGACCCCCCTCCCTGGCGCGCGGAGCGCGCCAGGGGCGGCGCCGGAGGCGCCGCCAGGGGGGCCCCAGCGCCGATCCGGGAAATCCGCGCGGCCCTCCGAGGTTTTATATTCATGTCACTTTCTGTTCCCCTAGTTTCCCAGCCCCACCCTGGGATAGCCTAGGGGCTACATGCGAACCCTACCCCTACCCCCCACGAACCCCACCCTCCCCCTCAGAAATCGTGGGGGGTAGGGGTAGGGTTCGCATGTGGCCCCCTATAGCCCTCCCTCTGCGGCCCCCCGACCATCTGCTGCCCCCCCCTCCCCGCGGGGCTCCCGGGAGCCCCCTCGCGGGCAAGGGACCCCGCGCCGCGCGGCCTCGCGCGGCGCACGCCGCCCGGGCTTGAGGCGAGCAGCCCTCCCCGGCCGCGGCCGAGGGGCGCCACGCGCGAGCGCTCTCAGGAGCGGCCAAGAGGGGGTTGTCCAAGAGGGGGGGGTGCAAATCATGACCGGCGGCATGTGCGCGGCCCAGCGAGGGGACCAGGGACGCAATGAAATAAGAAAAGGCGCCATGAAATCTGGGGAAATATCATGGCCCCCGCCATGATATCCCCCCCCCCCTAGTCATCACCCCCCTCTTTTCCGCCCCCGACGCTCGCCTCTGCGGCTCCCCGCCGGAGGTGCCGCCGGGGAGCGGCACGCGAGCGCCCCAAGGAGGGCGCGGCGTGCTGCGGTGGCTCGGCCGCGAGCGGCCGGGATCCACGGCGGGGCCCCGCCGTGCGGCCCGTGGGCCCCTCAGGATGCGCGCGGGCCTTCGGCGCCTCGGCGGGGAGCGGCGCGCAAGCCTCTGGGGGGATGTGGCCGTTGCACAGGAAGAGGGCGAGCTTGTCGCAGAAGTGGTTGCAGTTGTGGGTCAGGACGTCGTACTTCTCCGTGGTGAACTCGGTCGCCAGGTGTCGGCTCAGGTGGTCCCAGACCTCCCGCTCGAGCTTGTAGGTGTAGCCGAGTACCCTCCTCTCGACTGGCTGGCCGAAGGGCGTGGTACCTGGCACCGACTGGAAGAGGCTTCCGCCAAACCAAAACTCCGCACTCCTGTGCGGCCAGTCCACGGTCACCGCCGAGTGCCAGACGCCCTCCATCGACTGACCCAGCAGCAGCCAGGACCAGGCCCTGGCGTAGCCGTTGGATATGTCGTACATCCACAGCGAGACCGGGAACTGTTTCCTGCCGAGCATCACGTTCAGGAAGTCGAAGTAGCTCAGGCACACGTCGTCGTCCATGTCGTCGCTTCGGCTCCGCTGCTTGCAGAGCACCTCCGAGGCCCAGCGCGCCTCCGCGAAGTCAGAATCTCCTGCACCGCCAGGGCTGCTCCTCAGGATCCGCCGGCAGGCCCGGATCAGCCCAGCGAGGGACAGGCCGTCCATCTCCTGCCTGCGGTCGCCTGCGCCGCCCGGCGGGTTCTGCTCGGGGTCCAGGGCGTCCTCCCTCAGAGCCGTCTCGAAGTGCATCTGCATGCGCCCGAGGACCTTGCCACGTCCTCCTCCTCCTCCTCCTCCTCCTCCTCCTCCTCCTCCTCCCTCCCTCCCTCCCTCCCTCCCTCCCCTCCCTCCCTCCCTCCCCTCCCTCCCTCCTCCTCCTCCTCCTCCCTCCTCCCTCCTCCTCCTCCTCCTCCTCCTCCTCCTCCTCCTCCTTCCTCCTCCTCCTCCTCCTCCTCCTCCTCCTCCTCCTCCTCCTCCTCCTCCTCCTCTCCTCCTCCTCCTCCTCCTCCTCCTCCCTCCTCCTCCTCTCCTCCTCCCCTGCTCCTCCCTCCTCCTTCCTCCCCCTCCTCCTCCTCCTCCTCCTCCTCCTCCTCCTCCCAGCGCAGTTCCCTCCCGACCCAACGCCCTGCTCTCCCCACTCTTCGGCCTCCGGCTCGCGCGGCGGCGGTCGAGGGCGTGTCCCCCAGAGCAGCAGCGGCTGCACGGGAGAAAGAGACAGAGAGACAGAGATGAAGGGGCTCCAGGGCACACAAAGAAGTACACACAAATCAAAAGGATTCCCCATCTTTTCCCATCTCTTCTGGGCTTCTGTCTTCCCCCCCCACTTCCCATATTTTCCCATACTTTCTGGGGAATCGACGATTAATTGTGTCTGTGTGTGTGTGTTTCTTGCCCTCCTGAGAGAGAGAGAGAGAGAGAGAGAACAAACAAAAAAAGAAAGAGAGAAGACGGAGAAGAAGAGCACGTGGGGAGGGCCCTCCCTTCGCCCTGCTGCCTTGTCGTCCCTCAGCAGGGCCTCCTTCAGCTTCTCGTTGAGCTCCCTGCGGGCCGCTCTGGAGCTGAGGTGCACACCCCACGCGGAGGCGGCAGGGCCTCGCCGGGGCCGGCGCCTGCCGTCGAGCGCAAGAATCAGGAGGAGCCCCAAAAAGTTGCATGAATATGAAGGGGCCCTGGGACACACAAAGAAGTACACACAAATAACAGGATTCCCCATAGTTTCGCATATGTTCTGAGTTTTTGTCTTCCCCCCCAGTTCTCATAGTTTCCCATATTTCCTGGGAATCGACGATTGATTGCGTCTGTGTGTTTCTTTCCCTCCTGACACAAGTGAACCCTATCCCCACCCCCACGGTGTCTAAGGAAGGGTGGGGCTTCACTCCGCTCGAGACCTCCCGAACGAGATGAACCCTGGCCCCTCCTTAGAAACCGTGGGTGGTGGGAGTAGGTCTCACGTGTGGCCACCGAATAAGCACAAACATTCGAAGGTCCGTGCTGCCTTTACCAAGGGCGCTTAACTTCGCGTTTCGCGCTGCGCGAAACGCGAAGCGCGAATAACTTCGCGCTCTCGCGCCGCCCCGCAGGGGAGAAGAGGAGGATGAGGAGGAATCGGAGCCGAACCGCGAAGCGCTAACGTCGCGCCCTTGAGGGCGCCCTTGTTCAAAAAATGCCGGCAGGGCTTCAAAAAGATATCGCTCACGCTGAGCTGGCGTTGGCGCCGGCGTTAGCGTTTCGGGAACGTCGAGAAGGTCTGGTTCAAGCAGGGTGATTTCGATGGCTGTTGGGGAGCCTCAGGTTGAGCTGTGGGGCATCAGGTCAGGCTTAGGGGCCTCAGGACTAGCGAAACCAACCTTGTCCAACGAACCCTTCTGGCAACCTCCGAGCGTCAACGTCAGCGGAGCGCCAGCCAGATGTGGCGCTGGCGGAACGCCGGCCAGACCCGCGGAGAGCACAGCGCCGGCTGCCAAGAGCATTGCGCAGCGACTGCCCGCCGTGCTGGCGCAGGGCGCATGCGAGCGCGCTGCGCGCCCGCGGGGAAATAAGACGATGCCAGGACGAGGATACAATCGGTGAGGATTGATCGAGAATCTCCGAGATCCGACGGCTCTGGGGGATGGATGTATCGGGCGCCGCGGACTTCCCAGAGCGTACTGGAACGCCCTGGGACGGATCTATCTCTGGAGGCCTGGGAATTGGCACCAACACCAGCACAGAGGGTTGCCTCCACATGGGGAAGATGATCCTAGATGTCGGTGTTGGTGATAATATTTCAGTCACCTTGAAGCAAGACTATAACCACCATCACCGAGATCGGGATCGTCCTCCCTCGGTGGAAGCACACCGCCGATCTTGGTCTTGGTGTCAACCTCTGGGCCTGCGATATCCTCGTCCCAGCCCCGTCCGAAGAGACAAACAGAGACCGGCAGAAGCAGAAGCTTCTGGAATGCCGCGTGGACTCCCTGGAGCCCCTGCCATGATTCCTTGGGAGCCACCCACCCTGCCAAACCCGTCCGGGGACTCACTCCCCCACCACGCCTTCACCACGCCTGCACCACGCCCCCACCACGCCCTCACCGCGCCTGACACAGCCAGCTTCTCGGGCCGGGCGAAAGGGGGGGATAGCAAAGGGGGGGGGTGAGAATCAGCTCACGTAGCTGATTTTCCCGGCGCCTCCCCACGCTGGAAGGCGCCCATGTATCGATAGGGGGCCACCAGGAAGCGGGCTGTGTCAGGCGTCGACCTCCTCCTCCTCCTCCTCCTCCTCCTCCTCCTCGACCTCCCCTCCTCTCCTCCTCCTCCTCCTCCTCCTCCTCCTCCCCCCACCACCCACCCACCCCACCCACCACCCACACCACCCACCCACGAACCCCCACCACCCACCCAACCCCACCCAACCACCCACCACCCACCCACCCACCCACCCACCCCACCCTCCTCCCGCCCCCACCCTCCTCCCCATCCAAGCTGACGTCGTCACAGGGCCATTGCTCCTGCTCGCATTATCCCCATATCCTCCTCCTCGTGGTCCCCGTCCCCCTCCTCCCTCGCTGCGGGCTTCTCGCCACCCTCTCGCAGGTTTCCGCCATCCCCCTTCTTTGAGGGCTGAAAAACGACCCTACCCTGGGTTGCAAGTGCGTGGTCTGTAAACCTCCTGGGAACCCCCAAAAGCCCAGAGCCGCCAGGACGCGGCACGCCACGCGGGTCTTGCCCTGTCAGCGCACAGGAGTTTCAGCGCACAGCGCCTCGTAAACCAGGGTAGGGGCGTTTTTACAAGGAAGATACGCGGGGCCAAGCGGACACACGCCTGAAAAACACGACTGTCGGCATGCTTCGCCAGAGTTGCTGCTGTGAGATGGGCTGGTGGGGATACGCGAAGCGTAAAGAATTTCAGCGCACAGCGCCTCGCAAACCAGGGCAGGGGCGTTTTTTCTGCCCTTGGTCTTCGTCTTCTGCTTATTGGTATGATTTGTCTTATGGTTGTTATTCTTATTATTATGTTTGTTTGTCTTATTGTTTTGTTATTATTATGTCTTATGATATGTTATTCTTCTTTGTTTGTATGTATATGATATGTCTTATGTTTGTTCTTCTTATGTTGATTTGTCTTATGGTTGTTCTTCTTCTGCTGCGAGTGTCACCGAGCGCGTACACGTCGGCAAGGCTCCGCCGCGCATCGCTCGAGGTGTGCTGGCCCAGACCCTCGAGGGGCAACGACGGGGGGGGAAGCGGGCAGAGGGGGAGACACATCGACCTCGGGAGGGGGAGGAGGAGGAGGAGGAGGAGGAGGACGGAGGACGGAGGAGGAGGAGGAGGAGGAGGAGGAGGGGGACACATCGACCTCGGGAGGAGGAGGAGGAGGAGGAGGAGGAGGAGGAGGGGGAGCAGGAGGACGATGAGCAAAAGGGCGAGGAGGAGGAGGAGGGGGAGCAGGAGGAGGAGGAGGAGGAGGGCGAGACGTCGCCGATGGATCGACGAGAGGCCCCCCATCGTGGGGCGGGGTGGGGCCTATCGACGATAGGCCCCCGATCTACGATAGGCCCCCGATCGGCGATCGGCGATAGATCGACGATACACCCTGCGAAATGCTTAAGAAATCATGGGTTAAGAAATTCATAGTCTCAAAACTTGAATAACAAACCCAACATTTCTATTAACATCTTAAGATTTACATGGAAACGTTAAGAATAATCGAGAGTCTGGCCGACAACTCAAGTTTTCTTAAGCATCGCCTGAGGTGTAGGCTGGGCGGGGTGGGACTGTCGGGCCCCTAATCCGCGATCCAAATTCGCGAATGGGGCAAATGGGTGTGGATGCGTCCTCCCCTATGCCTATACCCCCTGTCGTTAGGTCAGGCATGTCCTCCTAGAGGCGGATTTTTCAAAGAAGAAAAATACCACCAAACTTTGCAACAGACATATTTCTCTTAAAATAAGAAAAACAAAACGTCCCCAGACTACTTTTAAAACTATGTTTGAAGATTCCTCCTGTAGAGGGGCATGCCCGACTTAACCCGATCCTTGTCAGCAGCGAGGCGCCCGGCCAGACCCGCGAAGAGCGCGACGCGCCGACCGCCCCAGGTCACTGCGCGACGACTGCCGGCTGTGCCGGCGCAAGGCGCGCGCGCGCCGCTGCGGGAATACGGAAGCCCTTGTCACTGCGACGACCTGGCAGACGTGCTAGAGCGGATTTTCGCGTGGAGTTCTGCCAGTGCAGGACACCAGAGCGACGAGCGAAGTTCATTTCACGTGGATTTGTTGTAGCCGTCTTCATCCCTGGCCCAAAAAGATCCACACGAGAGTTGCTTCGAGATCTGGCGCGAAACTCAGCAGGAAAGTCCGGGCCCATCCCATCGTCTTCCGAGCGAACTCCGCTCTGCGATGCTGGCGCCGTGGCCCCTGCGTCGGGGGGGGCGAGAGGGCCGAACGGAACGGAACGGAACGCCTGTGCGGGCATGCGCCCGGGCCCCTCAAGGGCGAGGCGGGTGAGGCCATGGCCTCGCATGAGAAGCTGCGCGCGCCGGGGGTCTACTCGGGACAATGCGTACTTCAGGAGCTGATTTCCCGACAGTCCCCACTCGTCCGTGTTCTCAGGATGGGTGGGGACTGTCGGGAATCCCCACCCGACAGTTCGGGAGCGGCCAAGAGGGGGGTGTCCAAGAGGGGGGGGTGCAAATCATGACCGGCGGCATGTGCGCGGCCCAGCGGGGGGGCCAGGGACGTAATGAAATAAGAAGAGGCGCCATGACATCTGGGGAGATATCGTGGCCCCCGCCATGATACCCCCCCCTAGTCATCACCCCCCTCTTTTCCGCCCCCGAACGGTTCCCGACAGTCCCAGGGGCGAGAGGGCAGGCTGGCTCGGCGGTGGACAAACCTCCCTTTAGTAAACCTCACCTTAGTGAAAACGGCCTGGGACCGAAACCGACGGACCTGGACCCGCAAAAATGACGGCCGCGACGCCCTCTCGCGAACCGAGAACGGCCAATTCCTTAATCGACGTGTCAGGGTAGGAGGTCTGTCCACCTCCGAATGGCAAGAAGGGCCGGGTGGAGAATCGGCTCGCGGAGCCGGGCCTCCTGGCGCCGGGAGGCGCCCGCGTGCCCCGCGGCGGGGCGGAGACCAGCTGCGTGCCGCAGATTTCGTACCCCCCCTCTGTTCCTATCCTTATGTCCGGCGTGTCCTCCTTCAGGGGGATTTTGGACGAAACATGCAAAATACTCAAAAATACCCCCCCCTCCCAAAAAAAACTAACTCCAAAAATAGTCCCCAGACTATCTTGGAGTATTTTTGGACTAGGTTGGGGGTACCTTCTATTTTTCGTCGAAAATCCCCCCTGTGGGGGGACAGGCCCGACTCAATCCTATCCTGCCCTTGCGTGCGGCCCGACTGCGGGCCAGCCCGGGAGGCGCCAAGAGGCCGCAAAGAGGGCCCCAGGAGGCCCCCCCCAAGAGGCGCCCAGGGAGCCCACAGGAAGACACCGCAGAGGCCCTCAGGAGGCTCCCAAGGAGGCACCCACAGAGGGCAAAACATCCACCCCCAGGAGAACCACCCCGATACGCGGAGCCGCTTACGAGACGCCGAACAGGGCAGGGCTGTTCAGTAGACGCCCAGGGCCGTTCAGTAAACGCCAACTGTCTGCTCCGGGTGGTATTTCCTCCCTTGAACCCAAGAGGCTCTGGAAGACCCAAGGAGGCCCACCCCCTCGCATGGTTTGGCTCCTCTCTGGATCCCGGCGTGCTGCACGGTTCGTGGTTGTCACGTGTGTCTGGGGTTGCGCAGGCCCCCAAGGGGCTTCCATAGTGTGAAGACCTCATGGCTGGTGCCGCTAATGCTGTATGCGAGGAGGACCAGGGAGTTGGAACAGATGAAGCAACATCATCCTAAATTGGGGGCTGCTGAATCGCTGCCTCGATGGCAAGTCTACACCACCCTAGGATGTCGATGCGGTCAACGAAGCCAAGCAGAACCGCGATGAAGTGGGCAAGCAAATTACAACCTGGAGGTCCGAGAAGCAGCGAATATGCATAAAACAAACTGTCCTCTGGGGGGGCCAGACTGTTGTCCATGTCCGATTCGTCTCCAGTTTGTGGCATCCCTTCCCCGAAAAAAAACAAGACGCCGTGGGGATGTGCACATACATCTTGCCCGCAACCGCGCCCAGGGAGAGAGCCGAGAGAGTGCACTCGCCTGCCCTGGTGGTAGGAGCACTGGTCCCTCTCGAGGGCCCAGTAGTGGATCCACTCCACCATGTCCACGCTGGCCGGGGAGAAGGCGCACCCGAGGCCACGCTGACGGCGATGCCGGCTCACGGTGATGCTGGGGATCTGGCTTGCGCGACGCCGAACTCGCGCAGAACGAACTGTCGGAAAACGCAAACGAGCTTTTCCTGCAATCGGGTCGGCCACGACCCACCCCCGCCTGCAATGCCGAAACCTGTGTCGCCGTGACCTGCGTCGCCGTCAGCGTGTCCTACGGGCCGAGGGCGCACGACCCAGCTGCTGCCCACCCGTCACCGTGCCGCAGCCCTTCACCCTCCCTGCCTTCCCAGCGCTCGCCTTCGAGACCCCTGCCGCGGGCGCTGCGTTCACTTCTCGCCGTCGCGACCTCAGGGGGTGGCCCGCATCAGGTGCGGCCACAGAATCGGGGGCGCGCAAACATGGATTAGCGATCCATGGATTTGGCGCGCGGTCGCCAAACCCATGGATCGGAGGAAGTGCCCTCCCCAAAATGCGGCAGGGTGCCGCCTCGCTCGGCTGAAATCCGCGACGTCCCCTGGAAACGGGACCCGTCGCTAATCCACGCCCCCTTACTCCATGTTTGCGATCGCCTAGGAGGAGGAGGAGGAGGAGGGGAGGAGGAGGAGGAGGGAGGAGGAGAGGAGGGGAGGAGGAGGGGAGGAGGGGGGGGGGGGGGGTAGGAGGAGGGGCATGAGAGAAGGGGAAGAGGAAGAAGAGGAGGAGAAGAGGAAAGGGAGGAGGAGGAGGAGGGGGGGAGAAGGACCGAGGAGGATGAGGAGGAGTGAGGAGGAGGAGGAGGAGGAGGAGGAGGAGGAGGATCGCCTGACACTAAGCATGCGCTCAGATCAAAGCCGCGAGCACAAGGCGAGGCATACACAGTGGCCCGCCTGGGGCGCCGTCGCCTCCGGGGTTCCTCGCAGGTTTCCTCCAAGAGAGGCCTTCGGGGGGGGCCATTCCTCACAGAAGGCGCACTGCTGTCATGGGCGTCACATGTAGCTCTCTCACATCATGCTCCCCCCCCTTCCCCCCTTCCCCTCCCCTCCTACGCGCCTCTCCGCCCACCTCTCTTCACTTCCTCCTCTTCCTCCTCCTCCTCCTCCTTCTCCTCCTCCTCCTCCTCCTCCTCCTCCTCCTCCTCTTCCCCTCCCTCCCTCCTCCCATCGTCCTCCTCCCAGTATTCCCGACCCCGTCACCCCGTCCCTCGAGCTCCAGCTCTTCCCCTCACCCCCAACCCAGCAGAAGGGACATGAGGATCGGGGAGGAAGAGGATTGGGCTTCGTCCTCTCCGATACTTACGTATGTCCCTTATAACCAGCTTTTCCCAGTCGCACCCCAGACGTGTCGGTGGGGGGGTGGGGGCAGGCGCTGCGCCTGAAATTCCCCCATTGCACATATTTCTGAAGCTTGAGGTGTGCAGCAACTTCACGGATGGAGGACGGTTGGTTTTCAACACGTGGCTCTCGCCTCAGCGCCGCACATAATCGTCTCACACATGTGCAACCATTTCGCGAATGGTCCTAGCGCCGCGTATTTGCAACAGTTTTGAGGATGGAGAGCAAATTGTTTTCAAACTGTGGTCATTGCATGGGCGCCGCGCACATTCGGATTCACATGGAGGGCGGCGCATTTCCAAAATGTGGTTCCCGCCTTCGCGCCGAGCACACTCGTTAGAAACATTTGACCCGTATCAATGGCACGTGTGGATGTAGTCCATGGAATGGTGTTCTGGCACGACTCAGGACGACCCAGACGCAACTGTCGAGTTGATCTGCGGTTCGAAATCCTTGGAATGGCGCTCTGGCGCGATTCAGGGCTGTCAGGATGCAACAGTCACGTTGATATGCGGCGTTGAAATCCCACGGATGGCGTGTTCGGCACGACTGAGGGTTCTCAATCGATTGTCGTCAAACGGGTCGTTTCCCGCAATGAATATGACTTCATGCAGTGACCTCTGAAGTGGGAACTTGGACGGAGGGTGTACTGCGACATCGTTGACGCGCCTTGGGTTTACACTGGTCCTCCTCCTCTTCATCCTCGTCCTCGTCCTCCTCCTCCTGCCGTGCGACAACATCGAGTTATATCCAGTAGGATGGTGACAGAGACACCCTTTCCCTAAACACGCAACAACCTCGGGCCGAGCGGGTGCCTACGGGTAAACACATCACATGGATAGTATACAATGCATGAACTCATTTACTCAGCCCGCCCCATTTTAGTGATCTTGAAACTGCACTAAATGAAACCGCAGGGGCACCCTCAGACTGACTTGACATCGGTAGCTCTCGGCCTGCTGCCCTCTAACAGAACAGTACACTCGGACCCAGTCGGTTCCACCGACGAGGTCTGGGGTGAGAGCGAGGAAGGAAACGACGACGACGACAACGAAGACGGACTGGCAGACTCGGCCGCCAGCTGCCTGGCGGACGCAGCTCGAAAACGACCCTTGGACGACGGGTCCTGCCGTCGATTCTCCAAGGCCGTGCTCTCGGAGGTGATCTGCACGAGACGTGAGCGTAGCAATTGGAGCTGGGCAGCATTTGACTTGGCAAGGTCGGCCTTTGTCATCACGTCTACGGGCGTCATGGGATGAGGTACCCAGCGAACCACTCCCCCCACACGTCCAAGATAATCTCTACAGACTGTGAGATCTATCGCAGTTCTTCTGTCATTTGTACTTCCAGACGTCTCTTGCCCAGGGTGTCAAAGATGCCCTCGGCGTCTACGATGCTGATATTCCCCTCAGGGGTTAGGTCCAGGGCGCAGCTCTTGCGCAACACTGAGACGAACGGTCCTTTGCGCGACCTCCAGGAATCATCCAGAAGCTCCCCATGAAGAACATCGCACAACAACATCTGGAGCCATTCGGCGCTGGCGAGCGCGGCATTCAAAGACTGAGCCTCTCCTGCCAGCGTCGAGGGAACCTGGCGATTCGCCCGGCACGAGCGCCGCGCGAGGGGGGTGAGCCGGGCCTGAGGCCCTCCGGACAGAGTAGCGTCTGCCGCGCACACTTGCCACGCCTGCTGGGGCTCGCCCCCGCTGTTCGCCGCGACCCCACCGCGGTCGGAAGCCGCGGCAAACTGCAGAGACCTGGCGCTGAAGCGCCACGCGATTATCGGCACACTCGCAGTCTGCCTAAGATGGTCGACCATCTTATTCAGCACCACGGCGCCTCCGACGGTAGGATACGTGACCCCACCAGCCAGCAAGGACGCGGTGCCCGACGCCTCCGCTCGCGCCTCGCGCCCCACCCAGTTAAGACGGTACACCGTGGATCTGAAATCGGAGATCTCGCGGCCGACGAGTGGCGCACCGTGGTCGGACCTTCTGGCCCTGGGGAGGTGATGGCGGCGAAGCTGCTCGAGACTGTACTTCTCTTTGTCTACAAATATCATGTCAGGTAGCCTCTTCAAGCTTCGGCCGATACAATCCACCCCTGAGGCATCTAGCCTCGCCATCTTGCCGGAATCGAAGCGCTCTCTGTAGCACTTCAACTCCCCAGCCTGCGCCGATGGCACATGAGCCATGCCCCCAGTCGTCCACCTCCATGAGTACCATGGACTCCGGACCCCGGGGCCCCCTCTTGGTCATCCAGCACGGTTCGAGCTTGGACTGAACGTACCCCCTCGACTCGAAAAACGACGCGGTAACGCGGCGAAGAGCGAGGGGGGCATCGCCCAACCCGCACACAGGCGCGACGAGTTCAATTAAGGGCCCAGGGGGGAAGGGCAATCCCTCACACGGTTCGACGAAGACTCTCCCTCAGGGGCGAAATGAGGGGTCGCCTTCACAGAAAGCATTTCTCAGCTCTCCGATCTGGGCGTCCATGTCGAGGGCCAGGACATCGTCAGAAACAACATCCTACTCTCCATCTGCGGAGACTCCACAGTGGAGTTGGTAAAAAGGCCCAAGTTCCCCGGTGTCTTCGCCCTCGCGGCCTCGAACGCACCAGCGGCCCCTGGCCTTGGAGCGAGAAAACGCCCCCTCCCGAGGTTTCCACCGCCGCGCCCTACGGCTGGACGCGCGGCCAGCGCCAGGGGGCCGACCTCGGCTCGTTCCCCGGGAACGAGCTCCACACCGGCGTTCCCGTTTCCGAGTTACCCCCAAAATCCGCTCCACCCTCTATCGGCCATCCCTTCGCGCAGAAACAGAAAGCACTGACCGGGCCGTTCCCCGGATAGAGAGAGAGAGAGAGAGGGGGAAAAAAAAGAGTGCCATCTCGTCGGCGTCTCGGGCGTTCCCGCTAGATCCCGACGCGCCCCGGTCTGGGGGCCTGGGCCGGGTCCTTCCTGGTTCGGGGGGGGGGGCTCTCGAACCGACCCTGCTTCAGTCGGCGGTCAGTCGCCCCGCGCGCCCCCCAGAGGACCCCATCGGGGCACCACTGGCCGAGGGAGGTTCTCCAACCTGGCCCGGCGCCCATGGGTCAGCCCCTCGCGCAACTGACGAGAAGCCTCCTCGCGATCGCACTGCGGGCGTCTCCTCACCTCCCCGAAGTCTAAGAGACGAGTTCTACGGACGGCCCCCTGCCGCTGCTGCTCCATGTCCACGTCGGGGCCCCCGGGAGGGGAGGAGAAAACGGGTTCGGGTGGTCGACCGCACTCGGGGCCACGGACCCCGACGGGGCCACCGAAGGAGCAGGAGAAGGACCCGACATGGGGAGACCGGATCGAGTCGACTCTCCGGCCGAAACCTGCCTCTCGGGCGAAAGATCTCACGGTCTCAGGCGCCCGCAGGAGCGCCTTCCACCCCCCGCGAAACTTCGTCGCGCCCTGCGTCGCCGAGGGGCCCCGAAGTCTCGGGGGGAAGCGCAGAGGGGGGAGAGGCCGACGCGGCCCCCTCCGCAGGCGGGGCCGGATCTTCCCAAGCCTCGGCCGGGGGGGGCCTTCTCGCATGACGTCAACCCCGGCTCGGTGCATCCCGGATTGCACCTCTCTGATCATGGAGGCCACCGCGGGGCCCAGCAAAATCTCCGCCCCCCTCGCTTCTGGCCCAGTGGCGGGCCTGAGTTGCTCGCTGGAACATTTCCACAATCTCGCCCTCATGGACGCCCAAACGCTGTTATTGCGCTGCAAGACCACCACCCCCGACCCGGCCCACCCGTCACATTGCAACGCATGCGTCTTGCGCTGGGTCCAAGGAGCCCTGCGCCACACGTAAACCCAGCCCCTCGGGCTGCACTTGGCGTCGCGGTGTCTCGGTGCCCTCGTGGCGGCCTTCGACCGAGCCTGACTCCCCTCCTGGAACAGCTGGGACCCGGCGAAACGCCTGATGCTCATCGCTCTGGCGAAGTCCGCTGCTGCCGCGTCTTGATCCCACGCCGTCTCGTCGAGATCCCGCTGGCCAACTAAACCGATGGGATCGTCTGACATCAACTCGCGCGGAACCTGGGGGGTCCGTCCGATAACGAGTTGGTTCAGAGAGAACCCCCCTTTGTGGAGGTAGCTGTTTTTCGAGACCACAACATCGCGCGCCAGAATCTCGAGCTCCTCCTCCGTGGCGACGACGGTCTGCTCGGAACCTTCGTCTAAGAGGTCCTTGACCCGCCCCTCGCGTCTCTGCGCCCGGCCGCCCCCCCAAGGGGCCTCCGCGTTAACCGCGTGCTGAAACGCGCCCTGCTGCTCCAGCCCCCATGAGCAACTCGGTCTGAAATTCAGACCCACCGTCCGAAAGCACTTACTCCGGGGGACCAAAACACCGACTCCACGAGCTCGCGAAAGCCCCCCACGCGCTCCGCGCTGTCGGAGTCTCGTATCCACTGCATCTGGCCACCAACTGATAGTTGGCACCGTGGCACGCGGCATTCAAGAACGGAACGGAGCGCCCCTCAAAAGAGACGTAGAACACGTCAATCCCGACAACACGGTTAGGTTAATAGGTGTAGGGCACGGCGGCTCTCCGCCTCTGCTCCGCCATGGGGTGTGCGTCGCAATCAGGACACGAGAAAGACGCCTTCACATAGCTGAGAACCTCCGGACGAACGCGCGCCCCTCTCAGGACCCGAAGAAAGAGGGGGAGACGCGGATGGCCCAGGTTCACATGGACCTCATACAGCAAGTCTCGAACCCAAGCGTCGATGAAGGGGAGACCAGGGCTCCTGTGGGCCGTCTCCCTCGCCCTCCTCGTCTCCCTCGGGAATGGAGTCGAGACCTCCGGAGCCCATCGCGGCGTCTCGATCCTCGAGATCGAAATCCATCTCGCCCTCTTCCGCGGTAGGGGGGCCCCCTTCCGCCGCTTCCGCCGCCGGCGTGTTGACCTGCGAGATCAGACCCCAGAAAAACTCCGGGCGGGCGGACTTGCGGGCCATGTTGGACACGATTGTGGCCACCGTTTCAGCCGCATGCTTGCAAACGCGGGGGGGGGGGGGGAATCTGAGATATTCGAGTCACCATCCGACCTTCCAAGACAACGTGTTCTTGGTCACCTGAGCACTGGTACTTCCTGAAATCTCGACCACAATGGGGTCGTTCGTTAATAACCTAGTCCTCATCCTGGACAGTCTGCCCTCGGGATCCACCGCGAAGCCGAAACAGCGCGTGTCGAAACCGAATGCATGCCTGGCATGGAGGCGAGCTGGACCACCTTGGGGCCCTCCCCGTACGAGACCGTGTCGGTGTGCTCTAGAACGAAGGTGCGCCCGCCCCCGTGCTGGATGAGGGCCAAGTCCACCGCGTGGTGGAGGTGCTCGCGACCCTCCAGCCTCCAGGATCAGGGCCTCGCGACGCTCGGAGTCCATGGACCCCTTGCTGACCCTAAAGATGGCACTGTACGTCCGGCACGGGGGCTCCAGCATGGTCACTGCTGGCTTCTCTTCCCCCGATTCTCGGAAGCCCCAGCCGGTTTCCAGATCCCAGCTCCAAAGATATCCCATCCGACTTTTCCGAATCTCCAGACCGATTCGGGAAGGGGAGTAAACTTCCACGAGAGCTCGATCGGCCCACTGCTTCCTGCTGGAACCCTCGAATTTATCTAACCTGGGGGTCTGACTGCTTAGAGCCGCAAGGCTGGTCTGGGAGTATGGGAGCGGGCGGGCGCTCCCTGAGGTCGGTCTCCCGGGAGTCCCCGAACTTCAGCCTTCTGATGGGGAAGCTGCTCGTCTGGTGGAAGCTGCTCCACTCCTGGAAGCTGTCCGAGTGGTGGTAGTTGCTCCACTCCTGGAAGTTGCGCGACGGGTGGAAGCTGCTCCACTCCTGGAAGCTGTCCTTCACCGCTGGACGGCCCTGCCGTGAAGCGCGGGGCCCTCTCGCACGCTCTCTAGTCCCCTCGAGAGGTAATCGCCTCGAAGTCGCCATTGAACTCACCAGCGAGCAACAAATCCCGCCAGAAAGGCAGAAACATCGCCACAAGGCGGTCCGCGCGGGCATCCAGAGAAGCGCCCCCTTCCGTTGTCAAAGCCCCTCCTGGATTCCTGATGAGGTCCATCCCCCTGTCCTCACCTAAGGTTTTTGGCGCTTCTCCGCGGAAAGAGAAAATCTCGCGCGACTGCCACCCTGCGTCGCTCAGAATCTGCTCGAGGCTCTCTGCCTCAGGCAACTCATTCAACCCGTCAGAAGCACTTGCCGCCCTTCAGTTGCCGCCTTGGCCGCCCGGCCCACTGACGCCCCCCGCGTTCGGAGATCCGGGGCCGACTTTCCCCCGGCCGGCAGCGAACGCTGTCAAAGCCGGGACCTGCGGCCGCGGCGCCTTGGGCTCGTCCACGAGCGCCATCTGCCTCTCCACTTTCAGCTGCTCTCCTGGGCGCCGATCTGCACCGCCTGGATGTTTTGGGCGGCCTTTCCCTGCTCGGCCACCAGCGCGAGCAGACCGTGTGTCTGGTTGGTAATCTCCTCCTTCATGCTCTGGATCTCCTTGGCAAGGACGGCGCGAGCCACTGGCGGGCGCGGGCGCGGGGGTCCCGCGCCGTCGATCTCCATCGGCGCCTCCAGCGCCCGGTGCTGCGCCATCTCCTCCGTCCGCTTCTGCGCCCGCATCGGTCTCTCTGAGCTCGGCGCCGATCCCGGATAGCCCGTCGTCGAGACGAGAGCGACCCTGGTGCACTCGGCGGAGGCCCTCGCATCGAAGCCACGCCTCCGGGCGGCTTGGCCAGGTCGCATATGTTCAGTGGTCCCGGGCCTCCCTGCGTCGACTTGCCCTTCCCCTTGTAGGTGACCGAGGCCATCACGAAGTACGCTATCCCCATGCGGCATTCCCCGCAACTCTCGCAGACCCCGCGCGGATTGCCGTAGCATGACATGCTGTTCCACGGGTGCGGACACGCTAGCTGCTCGTTCGTGTAGTACTTGCCTGCCTTCTTGGTCTTGGGGGGCCACTGGCGCCCGCTGTGGACACGCGAAAGAGCTTGCGCCCCTAGCGCTGGTGATCCGCCACGACTCGCGAGCTGAGCTACGCCCAGCACTTGTCCCCTACCGACAGGCCAGACGGGCACGCGTTTCCGGTCAGCAAATACTTGACGGACGGTTGCTCTCCATGCACTGGATTGGTCACCGCCCCCAAGAACGTCTTCTCGGCCGGCTCCAGCGCGCCATGGCGCCGGCAGCCACTGCGCGAGAAAGAGCTCTGCAAGGTTGTCCTCGCGCCGCTCGGCCCTGACACGGCCGCGCGCGTTGGATCGCGACGTCGAAGACGAGACGACGAGGGTGGCGAAAGAACCGCTCCCCGACACACCTGCAGAAAAGCCTCCGAAGATCCCGGGGCGCCCTCCAAGCCATCGGAACCGAAGGGAGGGGGAAAGAAGTGCTCGCCTGTCGTTGGAAGATCTCCGCGATGCCTCCGGCTGCCGCTGCCGACCAAATCCGAGGCCGAGTCTTTCTCGACGCAAGTCCGACCGGCCCTGGGCCCCCGAGTCGACTGCTCCGATAACGACTCCGACGACTCGACGGGCGGCGAAGGAGGAAGAGGGGGGACATGTAGCTCCCGCTCGAGCTCCGGCGGCAGACTGACGCCTGCAATCCGAAACGCTCCTGGACAGCCACCGGGAGCTCAAAATCCTCTGGGCGGCCGAGCTTGCCGATCGCAATCGTCCGATGACCGCTCGACAGCCGCTTCAAACGGGCGGTCGCCCCCAACTGCCTCGGAGTCATCTCCGCGTTCGGCAGGTCTATCACGGCCTTCATCTGCTCCTGCATGCCGATCGGCACGACAGCTGGCGCGTCCCGCTCGATCAGGTCCAGCTTCATGATGCCTGCTTTGCCCTCGATGCCGGTCGGAATCAGGAGCCCCGGCCGCGCCGGCGTCTTGCCGCCGACGCCTCTCGCGCACTCGTGAATGCCCTTGGCCCCGGCGACCCGCAAGCCCAGCTCGCCCAGGCGCTGCTCCAGCCGCTTCAGGGCCCGTGGCCCGATCAGCGCCTGGCCGGCCGCTGCGCCCACAGCGATGCCCCCTGGGTCGGTGACCAACAGGCTCATGACCTCGACCTTGGCGGACCGCGCGCGGTCCGCGACCCCGCGTGCAAAATCGCGCGCGCAGAACGAATTTCTCTCCTTCGCGGCCACGATCGCGCAGGTCGGGCCCGACCCATTGAGCAGCGCAAATCCGCCCCCTGTAGCCACTCCTGCCGATTCACCTCGCTCTCGACATTATCCGCTCCACTGCCCCTTCTTATGATATCGGTGGCACTTCGTGATCTTCATGCGTCTCTCGATCGGCAGTCTCTTCTTCTCGCGCATCACTCCTCTCGCACTCCTACGATGTCCGTCTCGCATCCCTGGGTGCAGCGGCGGCGGCGCCGGCGCCCGCGAGCCCGAATGCCCCCCCAGGGTCTGGTCGAACTTTCTGTCGACTCGAAGCTGTCTCTTGCGTCCCGGTTATCCTTCCAGGTATTCTTCCGCTCCTTCTTCAGTGTTGCCAGTACTTCGGGCAACTCGTGCTCGTCCACGTCGGCCTCTGCGATGGACTCCAGCAGCCATGCCTCCTGCTCGGATGTCATGGAAGACACGTCGCTGCACTCGCAGAGGTCGTCGTCATCTTCGCACGCGGCGCACGTCGCCGCCGTGGCCTCGTTAAGAGTCACGCCCATCTCTCTCACTGCTCCGATCACCTCCTCGTAATCCTTGGAGCCGCGACTCATAACTCTCAGCATCTGCATGCCGCTCTCGTCTAAGCCGATGCTCTCCTCGAGGAAGAGAATCTTCCAGCTATCATCCAACTCCAGCCCCTGACCCTTGAGCCTCTCGTAATTCTGGTCCATCCTCGCGGTGTAGACGACTGACGAAGTCTCGTCCGGCTTGCGTCTATATCCCATCAGGCATCCACGGTCAGCTCGTCTCCTCGTCGTCTATACGTTGCCCGCTCATGACGTCCAGCTTCTTGATGATGATCAGCGGGCCGTCTGTCGACTGCAGCGCTTCATCGGAGATGTCCTCGAACTTTCGCTGCAGCTCTCTGCCTAATCCTTTGAGAATTTTGCCCGCTCTCTTTTTCGGCTGTACATCCGTCTGATCTAGCCATCGAGTCGCTCTGCGTCGCCACAATCGAGAGTCCGACCAGCCAATGAATGCCTCTGGATCCGTGTAATCTCCCTTCTCCCACTTCTGATCTGCCATTCTGACCAGGTCGCTGAGCTCCATTTCTCTCTGGATGTCTCGTTTTGGTCGCCCTTCTCGTGTTCGTTGCTCCAAGCCTTTTTCCACTCGCCCCGCCCCTGCTGGGGCCATTCCTTTCTCTCGTTCCTCTGGCTCTCCGACCGGCTCTGACCTATCCACGGGTCGTCGTATACCCACGGATCGCGAGCTCGCCGGTCAGCACCCTCTCTTTCACCGGTCGTTCCGTCCTTGTCGATATTGCCCTTGCCCAGGTACTTCGGCAGAAGAGCCTCTGTTTGCTCCAGCTGCCGCTTCATCATCTGCTAGAGCTCCTGATTTTGCTCGCTGTCGAACGCCTCCGCGTTCGCTTGCCGCTTCATCATCTGCTCGAGCTCCTGCTTGTGCCCACTGTTGAACGCCTCCGACGTTGCCTGCTGACCCGGGTTGTCTGTCCCGCTATGTCTCTCGCCGTTGCCATGCTTCGGATCGCCCGACATCGTGCCGCGGACCGTCTCGCACTCCGCTGGGAATGTCACGCTCCGCCACCACTGACGCGCGAAACACATCGAGTGATATCCGGTAGGATGGTGGCAGGGATACCTTTTCCATAACACGCAACAACCTCGGGCCGAGAAGGCGCCTACGGGTAAACACAACACCGGAAATCATTACAGAGAGTTCAACATCAAATGGATAGTATAGACTGCATGAACTCATTTTTTCACTCCTTTCTCTCCTACGCCTTACGGTCACCCTCTTCATCCCCGTCGTCTTCCCCCTCCTCCCAGCCTGTCCTCCTTCCTCTCCTCCTCCCCCTCCTCCGCCACCTCCTCCTCTTCTTCCCACCCACCCACCCACCCACCCACCCACCATTCCACCCACCCACCCACCATTCCACCCACCCACCCTCCTCTCCATCCACCCATCCACCCACCCTCCTCATCATCCTCCTCCTCATCACTTTCCTCCTCCTCCTCCTCCTCCTCCTCCCTCCTCCTCCTCCTCCTCCTCCCCCTCCTCCTCCCCTCCTCCTCCTCCTCTTCCTTCTCCTTCGTCCTCTTCCTTCTCCTCGTCTCTCGTCGTCCTCCTCCTCCTCCTCCTCCTCCTCCTCCTCCTCCTCTCCTTCCTCCTCCTTCTTCCTCCTCCTCCTCCTCCTCCTCCCACCCACCCACCCACCCACCCACACCACACACCCCCCACCCCAGCTGACGTCGTCACAGGGCCATTGCTCCTGCTCGCATTATCCCCACATCATCCTCCTCGTGGTCCCCGCCCCCCGCCTCCCTCGCTGCGGGCTTCTCGCCACCCTCTCGCAGGCTTCCGCCACCCCCCTTCTAGGAGACCGATTTCTGACCACACCCACTTCCCGAGGTGCCTTGCGATAAGCGGTTTCCAGAGGTGGAGGTCGGCAGTTCCCCCGCCCCAGGGGAAGGAAAAAAACTACCCACTTCCACCCCCGAGGGCCTATCATAGAATCGAGGAGCCAGAGGTGGATGCGGTCAGAAATCGGTCTTCGACCTTCTCTCATCGTCCCACTCCTCCCCCACGCATCCCCCATCTCGCCCTGCCCAGGGGCGCCCCACTTCGCGCTCCCGCGCCGCGCGACGCGCGAACGACTCCGCGCTCCCGCGCCGCCCCCCACCCAGGGGAGAGGGTGAGGGTGAGGGCCACCGAGAGCGCGTCCGAGTCGAACACGCCTCAGGAACAAATGAGAACCCTGAGGGGCCGCAAAGCGGCGGAAATATTATGTACTGAGAGGGCGGGCGAGGGCCAGGGAAAACCGACGCCGCGAAACCGCTCCCAGGGGAGGCAAGACGAGTTACGTCTGCGCTTTGCCCTCGGGGCGCTTGGGGCGCCCTTGGCGGCCGTGGGAGATCCGATCGATCAACCCCAGCTGGTTGGCCCTCGTGCTCGGATTCTCTGAGAGCCCAGCACAAGGACGACGGAGCTTCCGAACGCTCCGAGACGTCTCGAGGGTCGTCGTACCAGCACACTTACGGCAACAGTAGACCGAATTCACGCAGAAGGCATCGCGGCCCAGAGCCGCAAACTCGGCTATGAGCTCGGTCGACCCTGAACTGTTTGAAGCCTCGCCGATCTCAGGCTGCTGGGGAGGGTCCACGGGCCCAGGAAGGGGTCCCTCCGAGGCCTCGCAAGGCCCCTCACCTAAAAAGTCCGCGACGAGCACTTGGGGCGGGGCAATGCGGGGGTCCGACGCTTTGACCCAGACCTCCCCCGAATTCTTAAACCATTCCGCACAGGCCAGGCTCTGGAGGCCAGAGGGCTCACATTTCCTTCCCGACCCAGTCCTAAGCCAAGCTAGAGTCGAGTCCGATCGAGCCGATCTCCCACATCTCCTGCACCTATGCTCCTTGAGTTTCCTGCACCACCATAGATCATGATCTGAATCACGGCCGAACAAGACTGGCTGCCCCAGAACCTCGCGAGCCTCTGGATCCTGAACGGGCGGCGGAGGACCTCGGCCCCAACTCCCAGAGACAATGGCACGTAAGCAAGCCCACGATGCAAACTGCAACGTGGCCTTATGGATTTTCAAGGCCTCTGTGAGCGACTCAGAGATCGCGTTGGCGATCATGCGGTGCGCCGCACCTGCCTTGGCGAAGTAATCAGCCCAGGCATTGCCGAGCCAGTTCTCCAACTCCTCAGGATTATCCAGCACACTGTCGGGGTCACGGTGTGCAGGAGTCCACTCGAAACGGATTGGACACTTGAGCACACGACGCCGAGCAGCCTGGAAAATTTCGCGCCATATCCTGGCGTGCTTGCCTCGGCCGTGCTGAAGGGATTGATCCCAAGACTTGCCCTCAGTTACCAGCCCCAGGAGGTCAGACACGAACAGCTCGTGATCAGGATGAAATTCCAAACCCACGTTGATTGCATATCTCTCAGCACGGCCAACGGTCTGCACATAGAAGGGCAGCGGTCCGTACACTGCACGAACTGGCAACAGGGTCTTGGGGTCCAGCTGGATGCATGAGTACCCACATCGCCTAGTCTCTGGAACACTGGAGGCGAGGCCCGAACCGTCGGTATAGCTCTTGGGGCCCCAAGGCCCATCGGTGTCGCCCCACAGGAGAACTTCCGAACTTATTGCGTCGAGCCCAGGGATACCCGCAGGAGGAGCGGGGGGCCCAAAGACCAGGCAATTGGACTCCCAAGCCAGACGCCCCTCATACCACTCGCCCCCCTTCAAGAGCATGCCTCTGGTTGCCTCCAAGTCCTCTGAGATGTCCAAGAAGTCCTGGCGCTGCGTGAGCAGCTCGGGGCAGTCGTAGAGCACGTGGCCCCAAATACCCTGAGACTGGGCCCCACAAGCTGCACGCGGCCTGATTGGGATCTTTTGACGGGCATCTTGGAGCTGAGGAATGGGGAGGTTCCCTGACCAGTGCGCTTGGAGGGCCCCAAGTCTACGAACACACTTGATACTCGTCACCGAGTTGCGTAAGCCTCGGTGCCATATCTGCTCGTCAGGCTCAGCGGCATAAAAATGCTTGAGCAGCCGCTCGTCCTGCCAACGCTGGATCCCCTGGGTGAGGAAAACCTTCAGGTCGGCAGGGCACATAACTCGCAAGCCGAAACCATTGCCTAAATCATCAGCCACCATATGACTAGATACCAAGTTCCACCCAATACGTCGTAACGTCAACCAGCAGGCCCCGATCGGGCCCCGAGTGTTAGCCCAGGACAGCGTGCCGATCTTATCTCGGAGAGCCCCCCAAGCCCGATGTAGACGACTGTCGGGTATTCTACCGTCCCAGACCCACTCCGCAAATTTAATAACGATGGCTATTGTGGCGTGGTAGATAGGATCGTAGAATTCGCTCTTGTGGCTGATCAAGTAGGCGGTCACACCCGTGTTAAATCTGCCTGGCGCGCCGTTCAAGACGGCCGCGAAAAGACGCAGCTCTCGAAGTGCAACGTCGCTTACGCCAGCAACTGCAGCACCGTGCGCCACTGATGGAAGGGCGCCTGTGCGCCACAAAGCCGCCGAGACCTTGCCGACCGCAGACTTCAGCATGGAAAACCTCGCCTTCCTCTCTCTAAGCTGTTTGAGGCGCTTCTTTTCCATGCCCCGAATAACCTTGGGCCCCGTGAGCTCGTGACCTAGGTTCCTCATGTGGCCCTTGTACGGGATCTTCATGGAGCCCATGTGGTGCTGCACCCCCTTCCAGAACTTCCGAGAACCAGCGACAGCCCCAGACTTCGAAGCCTTCAAGATCATGCCGAGGCCCTTGGAGTCCTGGATGAAACCCTTCGCTGCCAGCGCAAGGTACTTGGCCTCCCTGGGGTCCTGGGAGGTATGCTGGAGCCCTATATCGTCCATGAGCGTCCTCGGGGTCACCGTGGGGGAGACCTTCGAGACCCTCTGCACCGACCTAGAGGTGAGCAATTACAGGACATATGTGGCGTGGGTACACCCAGCCAGGATCCCTTGAAAGGACCGAAAAGCTCGGGAAACGCTCCCAAAGGCCCTTATTCGACGGGGCTGTTGGTAGCTCTGAATGAGGAGCCAAAGAAGACGCAGTGGAAACCCAAGAGCCTGGCCTTCTCGGAGCAGTGCACGCGGGTCAACGACATCATAACATTTGCTCATACCAAGCAAGATTGTACATGTATGTTCCCCCAACAACTGCGCCACCTCCTG